ATAATAAAGAGCTACTTGAAGAAATCGCTGTGCCGGCTGCTATGTCAACCCACGACTTAACACTTAGGATGAAACTATGACTATTCAAAGTGGTGTTATACTGATTTGCCGTATTTTTTGCTCTATAGGACGCACCCGAGCAAAGGACGTACCTAGTTTTTAGAGGAGGAAAACAAGTAAAAAATATTCTGAATCAAATCAGTGTTGGGGCTGAAGGGGGAAGCCCGGGGTTTCCCCATAAAGCCGCGGCATCCCCAAGCAAGAACAGTGAGACGCTGCGCAGCGCTCTGTCTCTCTGTTCTGGCTTCAGGGACAGCCTTTCAAGCCTCCGCAGGGCAGCGGGGTGCCTTCACCCCACTGCCTTGTGGAGGCTTTGCGTAGCCAAAAAACCCCCAAAATGCAGTTAAGGTAAGATGCTGGGTTCACATGTAGCACCAAGCCATAATTAAAACAAGGGTCATAAACCAACAATAACACACTCAGCAAGGTTTGTACATACCACTAAGTAATGGTTTAATAAAATATAGTTTAATAAGCCATGGTTTAGCATAATGTGCAAATTAGACAAAAAAGGGGAAGCGTTTGTGGGCACCTTTCAGAGAACATTTCAGTTTCCCTAACACACCTTTTTTCACATAATAATGTTTACCCACAAAAATCCAGCTGAATCTTAATCTAACTCTTCCTCCTGTTTGAAAATTTTGAAAAATATATATGACACACCTTTTGCTGCTGGGTGTCTTGTTACAGGGATGAGGAACCTTTGGCCTTCCAGATGTTGTTGGACTACAACTCCCATTATCTCTGACCATTGACCATGCTGGTGGGGGTTGGAGTCCAACAACATCTGGAGGGCCAATGGTTCCCCAGCATTGTCCTGATAGAACTGGCCTACGTGGCAGAGCAGTGCACAGCATAACTTTGTTGCTACAATTTGAATTTTTAAGTAGCAGGAATCTTTCCACAAGTAACATATGCCAGTTGTGCTTAATTTCTTGCATGATTCACTCATCCCCTCTGGGCTCCATCCAGACTCCGCCTTCAAGTCTAAGTCTCTGACAAAAGAGAAGAATCAGGGCTCCCACCCATAAATGGCATTCTGCTTCTGAACATATGTGCTAGCCTGGCTCATCCATGGATGGCTGATAGGATCTCTTGCTTCATTCAAGACATGCAGAGATTCCCAGCTGTGTTGAGGAGCAAGGGAACAGCTCTACCTGCTATCTGACAAAGGAGATAAGTGTATGGATGAGCTGAGGATCTCTTTTATTTTTATTGTAAAGGGATAGTATAATTAATAGTAGGTTGGCTTGCACCCATGGTCAATGATTGTGCGCTATAATATCTGACATTAGAAATATCCCAGAATAGGTACTGGGTACAGAATAGGTACTGGGTCAAAAGTACACCCTTGTATTGAACACACACCATACTCACCCTGAGAATTGGTGTGTGTGCTTTAAAAAAAACAACAACTTGCAAATCTGTCAAAAAGTGTCTGTCATAACAGTTCCTTTGACATGGCTTATTGCCTGAATTTCAGAACTGCTACAGAGAAGCAAACTCATCTGGTGAGGGTATATATGGGGTACCCACATGGTGCTCCCTCTTCTACAAGGGCTGCCACATTCACTGTGGTGAAGGGAATAGTTCTGTACATGGAAAGGGCTGTGCCATGCAGAGGAAGCTGTGTACAGTGTTTGCTTTGCTGCATAAATGAGACTTTTGACTGAGGCACTAGAGCATCTACATCCTGTTATCAGAGGGTGCACTAGCTTTTGCAAATTGGAATCAGTGCACTTAACTTCCATAAAGCATGATTAGTGGGGGGAAATTGAGGAGAGCATACAAGGTTTAGATTTCCCCCCTGTAATGCATGAAATGTAAAGGGCACTGTCAGACACTAGCAGGAAATGTTACTTCTCCTATATATTCCACCCTGAGTACTCTAAATGGGCCCCCCTTTGTGGCAGGCATTGGTACCCCTGTGACTAGGAACTCCTTGATGTGCCGTCCACGTTATTTCTGTAGCATCAAAGGTGGCCATGACCGGCTCCCAATCAAGTGTCTGGGCGGCTCCCAATCAAGTGTTAAAAACAGTACAGCGTTACATATTAAAAACTTCCCTGAACAGGGCTGCCTTAAGATGTCTTCTGAATGTCAGGTAGTTGTTTATCTCTTTGACATCTGATGGGAGGGTGTTCCACAGGGCGGGCGCCACTACCGAGAAGGCCCTCTGTCTGGTTCCTTGTAGCCTCATTTCTCGCAATGAGGGAACCACCAGATGGCCCTTAGCGCTTGATCTCAGTGTCCGGGCTGAACAATGGGGGTGGAGACGCTCCTTCAGGTATACAGGACCGAGGCCGTTTAGGGCTTTAAAGGGCAGCACCAACACTTTGAATCTTCCTTGCACCACGTCAGACCACAGGTCCGTCTGACTGGCAGGGGCTCTTCCAGATTTCAGGCATGAGTCTTTCCAAGCCATACCTAGAGATCCAAGGAATTGAACCCGAAACCTTTTGCATGCAATACATGTGCTCTACCACTGAGCTCTGGAGCTTCTCCTAAACAGCCTCTGCATCTCAGTGAAAGGGTCAGAGAGCCATGGCTGACTTCTGCTGGAATCAAAGGCTGTGGTTCTGGGAGAAGCAAGGCCCCTGTGGGGTGTTAATGCTGTGACCTCCCTCCATCGTAGGCTCAGGTTGTTTATATGTGTAAATAAACCATCTATTCTAAAGATACCACAGTCTCTGCTGTGTCTGATTCCAAAGAAAGACGAATCCTGGGTAAGCACTTGGAACCCCTGGAATCTTGCACTGCTCAGAGATTGGGGTGGCAAGCAACAATGCTATATTAGGAAAGTTTTAATGGAAATTTCATTTTAATGGAGGTGTTTAATGAGAAATCCAATAGCATATTTCAGCAATCTCAGGAGAAAATTCAGCAGAATGGTGGGCCAAGAGGTTGGAGTGGGGGAGTGGTGATAGAACCCATTATTGTAAAAAAAAACCTTTTGAAATTATGTGAGAAGCTGTGCCAGAAGCCTGCCTTCAGTACCAGAACTGGCAATGTGTTTTTTCTGTGACCAGCTTTATTCAGGTCAAACTAAATGGTCACATAATGGACCCTTGCAGCTGTGAAATCTTTTTCTTTCTCTTCAGTGCTTAAGGGCTTCCTCTCCTCCACCAGCAATTTGCCTCTTTGGAGGCTTTTCTGCTAATTGTAGACTAAACTTGCAGGCTTTCTGAGGCATTTGTAAAAATTATAACCAGCTTCCCTCCTGTTGAGTAGTAAAGAGTACCTGTCTGCTGAAGAGCTCTCAGGCTAAACACAGGGGTTGGGTGAAGCCTTTACGACCTGTCACGATGCCTCTCCCACGAAGCCCTGCAGTGTACAGCATCAGCAAGTCTCCCAAGAGTGATTTGGGCAGGTTGCAGCTTCTTCTGTGGCAAAAGAAACTACATCTCCCTCCTGTAAAAGCATAGGAGCTCTGCTCCAAGTTGAAAATGGTAATCTGGTCACCGTTCCCCTGTGCACCTTCATTGTCCATACAGTGTTTTATAAAGAATGGTTTATGAAGCCGGGGACAACTATTGGGTCCAACCACATCTCCCCCATCTCTCCCCTCCCCCCATCGTGTACTGGCTTCAGCATAAAGATCTTGGCTTGTATTAAATGAAGATTTATTGTTATGCAGGTGTGTGTGTGTGTGTGTGTATAATGTTCAAAGCCCAATTTGGTTGTAATGCTGATGTTCACCAGCACTGCATCCTCCTGGCCACATATCCTCTGTTTGCTTATAAGATTCCTATGCTGGTGTTCAGGGAATTGCCTCCCAAAATGTGCAAGTCAATGTACTCTTACTGGGCTAAATATTAAGAAGGGCAGTATACAAATGCCTTAACCCATGTATGGGATACCTGTGGCCCTCAAATTGTTGTTGGTCTAAAAGTCCCACTATTCCTCACCATTTGCCATGCTGGCTGGGGTTAATGTGAGACATGGAATCCCAGCCACATCTGGATGGCTCGGGTTTCCCATTCCTGCCTCAGTTAAGTAATTAACTATGGTTTGCACAGGCACAATGGCTCAGTTTGAATATGACACTGAGCACGTGGGAAAGACACATGCACAACAAAGATTTGTTGTTTTACACACCCAGGGCGATAATTGAACCAGACACCAGAGGATTCTCTAATAATCTCACACATGGGGTAAGAAGAGTTCCCTTAGGCAGGGAGTTAGAAATGGCTCTGCTTGTGTGGGGGCCTCTTCGGCACTTATTTAGGTATGGATTTGAGTGCTGAGGTGGCACTGATGATAGTGGTACCAATTTAAACAAAATAAATTGTATTCTTTCAATACTGTAAAAACAAAACAAAAACAAAATACCTCAGTATCTCCCTCCAATCAGCTTCCCAGTTGGGAAGGGTCAACATTATTTCCTTTGCTTAGCAACAGTGATTAAGTGTCCTTAGCAATGGTGCTGCCTACTGCGTGCTGAAGCATTAGAGCTGTCTTCATTTTTGCCTGATTGACTTGCTTTAAAAAAATAAATAAAGCGAAGAGTCTGAGGCCTCTGCTGGTCTGCTCCCCTCTCCACCAAATCCAGCCCTTTATATCCATCTGTTGGCAGCCTTGTACTCACCCACAGACACCTCCTCCTTGTCAGGGTTCAGGCTCAGCTTTTTCACTCTCATCCAGCCCAGTGTTGGGTCCATACACTGAGCCAGGGCTTCACTGCCTCTCCTGATTCAGGAGTTATAAAGAAATAGCACTGGGGGTCATGAGCTTACTAATGACACTTCACCTTGCATTGTAGAATCCATTCCACTTTTCCAAGTTGCTAATTGATGTTATTCTTGAATGAAACTCTTCTGCATCAGAGAAACTGAGGCACAGAGATTTGAAGATTTAAGTTACCTGACCTCTGGCTTCGTGGGGAGCCTGCAGCCATCAGAACTTAAGTTTGTTCGTCCTTGTCTCTCTGTCTGCCACAGGTGTGTTCCTTTTCTGCTGGACTCCTTTCTTTGTGGTCCACATAACCAGAGCCTTGTGTCACTCCTGCACCATCCCCAGCGAGGTAACCAGCATTGTGACATGGCTGGGCTACGTCAACAGTGCCCTCAACCCCATCATCTACACCGTCTTCAACACTGAATTTAGGAACTACTTCCGCAAAGTTTTGCACATCTTCTGCTAACACTGCTGGATTCTAAACATAGAACTGGATTCTGAATATAGAACAGAGTGTACTACACAAGGCAAAGAACCAGACAAATTTAACTTCTTTGTATAGTTTATTAAAGTTTTATTTCTTGCTACATTACTGTGTGCTTCAGTCTTTTTTCCTCCGGTTGGGTGAAGACAGATGCTACAACAATGCAGTTCTTCTTTTGAATGCACAACAATTATGGACATAGGCATTTATCCACGGCACAAATGATCTTTTCAAATAACTCATTTATTGTCAGATGGAGCCGCCTTCCTCCAGTTTTGTGCTCTCCAGATGTTTTGAAGAGAAACTCCCATCAGACAACTCCCATCATGCTGGCTAAAGCTGCTGGCAGCTGTAATGCAAACATCTGGAGGGCACCAGGTTGGGGAAGGCTGATAGAGAGGCTACTACTTTTGGTGAGACTGCTGATGTGGCCTAAAACAAACGTGTCATCACCCCTGTGTACCACCTTCAAGTGTGCATCTATCTACATGCCAAGTTCCAGCATCTGCTAAGAAGTATTTGCAGTGGTTGCCCCCCAGCCCAATTTATGGTACCATTTTCCCCTAGAAAAGAATTCAAGCACCTTCTGGTGGTGCTGTAAAACCTTTCCTAGTTTCTAACGCTTATTATTTTATATCATTAAAAGAAAAGAATTTTAAAACATAACTACCATATAACTGACAGTCACCAATAGATGTTTATCTCTGCCTGGGGCCTTTCGCAAGGGCTATGGAATTGAGCAAAGGGGGAAGAAAACAAACATAGCCACTAGATCTATAGCAATCTATCTCCTCCACTACTGTAGTCTACAGCATTGGCCAGTTCCACACCCTTTGATCAGAAGCATAGCACAATTTTCACCAGGCTCTGAGCATGGGAAATACACATGGCAGGAAAATGTGTGTCATGTATGTACAGTGGTACCTTGGTTCTCAAACACCTTGGTTTTCAAACTCCAAAAACCCAGAAGTGTTCCGGTTTTTGAACGATTTTTGGAAGCTGAACATCCGATGCGGCTGTCGGCTATTGTTTCCGGGGCACCTGCACCTATCAGAAGCTGTGCGTTGGTTTTCAAACATTTCAGAAGTCAAACAGACTTCCAGAATGGATTAAGTTTGGTGCTTTTGTTTTTGCTATTTATTTTGTGTTTTTGTTTTTGAGGCTTTTCCGGTTAATTTGTTTTTGTGACTGTGTGGAACCCATTTCAGCTACTGATTGATTGACTGCAAAAATGGATAAAAGCCCCCCATCCACACAATGACTATCATTAGTGCAGGGAAGAGGGAAAAAAATTCATTTTTATCATCTACAATACTGTCTTATTTATTTTATAGTACAATTGATTATTGCTTTCATTTTATGGATCAATGGTCTCGTTAGATAGTAAAATTGCTGTTTTAGGGTTGTTGTTTTTAAAAGTCTGGAACAGATTAATTCGTTTTGCATTACTTTCTATGGGAAAGCACGCCTTGGTTTTGGAACGCTTTGGTTTTGGAACGGACGGCCGGAACGGATTAAGTTTGAGAACCAAGGTAGCACTGTACTATATGTTTGACCTGCATACAGTGATTAAAAGACCTAGTTCAGTGGAGTCCAGATAAGCATGATATGGGTTTATGTACACTTCTGCATAAATTGTGGCCACTGAAGGCCAGCAGTCAGCAGTAAAACAGAGATTGCAGTTCAATATGCTTTGCTTATTTTGCCAGTACTGATCTCCACGAGGCAAGTCTGTGGAACATGTTATGGGAATGGAGCAGACATGACACTTAATTGCTAATGATCCTTGGAGCAGGGTAGCTGGAGAGCAATTCATTCATAGGAATGTAGGAAGTTGCCTTATACTGAGTCGGCTCATCGGTCCATCTATTGTTGGCCCTGATTGGCAGTGGCTTTCCAGGGATTCAGGCAGGAGACTTTCCCAAATCCACCTGGGGACATCAGGGATTGAAGCTGGGATCTTTTACCTGCTAAAGATGTTCTCTGCCACTGAGCTATGGGCCATCCACTTCCCTTCCCTTTGCCTGGGTATCTCATCAGAATGATTCTAGGCAAGACAAAAAAAAATGGTGGGTGAACAGAACCTGAGATGGACCAGGGAAATGATTGAATGCCTTCTCTTAAAGAACCATAGAATTGTAGAGTTGAAAGGGACCCTGAGGATCATCTAGTCCAGTGTTTCCCAACCTTGGGCCTCCAGCTGTTTTTGGACTACAACTCCCATCATCCCTAGCTAGCAAGACCAGTGGTCAGGGATGATGGGAATTGTAGTTCAAAAACAGCTGGAGGCCCAAGGTTGGGAAACACTGATCTAGTCAACCCCCTGCAATGCAGGAATCCTCTCCACAGTTATCCCTAGGTGGGCTTGAATCACCAGTCTTCTGGTTAACAGCCAGATGCACTGACCCATTGCAACACAGAGGTCATCAGAGGAGCAGCTTCTTGGACAGATGCGCCGCTCTGATGACCTCTAGTATTAAGTACGCTGTGCAAATAGCTCTACAAAGTTGATTTTTCTTTTTAAAATGCACAATATTTTCACTATACTGAAAACCCACCATTGTGAAAGCCACCTGCAGAGCATACTTAATAAAGCCCCCCCCCTTTGTAATATTCCATTAGCTTGGTTTTTAGGAGAATTTAAAGTTCCTTCTAATTTCTGCCTCTTGACATCTTTCCATCCCATCTACCTGCTGGGATACTGCCAGGGAGACAAAGTCCATCATGGCCCCACGTCGCCTCCGGACGTCCATCGATCTCCCGTAGACACGCAGTATCAGCAATTAGCGACATGAGCTCCAGAAATAGCTTGCCACATTCCAGAGCTGATGCACGCTCTTATCAGCAGATAATGCACAGCGAAAGATGCACGCAGGAGAGCATTATTTATAAGTTTATTCTGCGTTAGTCAGAACAGAGAAAAACATGACCGCCTGCTTCAGCGTTCAGGCACCGAGAGAGAGAAACGAAAGCAATAGAAAACATAAACATCCTGTGAACAGGAAATACGCAGACTCTGTGACTCACAAAGCCTGCTCCCTTTTAAGGTGGAACCGAAATATCCTAACATCCCATTTGGGAAGTTAATAGGCTGGGACCAAAGAATCAAAACAACTGAGCAAGGAGCCAGCCCTATTCTCAGCCCACCCAGTCCAAGGAATTCCAGTTCATCATGAAATCCTACAGGGAAACTTTTCTTAGCATCTTTAAAGCTTTTCCTGATGATGACAGACAAATTATGTGAAAAATCTGGGCAAAAAAAGGAACTCAACAGATGAATCAATAGATAATATTTTTAAAAATAGTTTTAAAATATTTTTTTCCCATATAGAAATAAAGGTCTCCATAAACCAAGAGCAGAGAATTTTGACCTGAGCCGAGAAACTGAAAGTATATAGGAAAAAGCCCTTTTAGAGTTTGCCCTGCTCTCCTAAGGCCCAAATCCACACAACAAACTCCATTCATCCCTGGAATCCCTATCCCTACAATTTATGTCAACCCATCCAGTTTATATAATGATGCTCCAGTCAAAATGAAAACACAAACAGGATGTCTGCCTGATTAAAGATAAAATCTCATGCACACACACACAGTTTATAAGACATGCTTTGCTGAACTAACTCCATATAAACCCGGGCATGTACTGCTTCCTGCTGAATATTTCAAAATTATTGTTTCTATTTCCCAATAAGCTCTTGCAATCCACTTGTAAGAGAACTCCTGCTGATTCATGACTGTCCAAAAGGGTAATAAAGAAGGGAAGCAAGCCAATTTTCAGGCTGGGCCAATCTCACGCTTCATTGCCTTCCTTGCATGCACAGCAGGGGTTATTTAAACAGAGCCTGGCAGGGTTTTCTTGTACACCCAGGAACTAATATCTCCAGATATTATACATACATAGGAGTTACAGTTTGGCTGGAATTATGCTTGGGATGGCTGAATCTGTCAATTCTGGTTTCTCTTAGTTTCCCATTTTTCCAATCTCAAATTCAGTTCTCAAGTTCACATCAGTTTGTGGGTTTTTTTAAGTCTTCATGAAAAGTCATCATAATTTTAGTGTGAATTTCTCATACTTACACATTTGCATGCCATTTTGCCTAACATATACATTTTGAAGAGCATTTCCCCCTAAAATAATGCAGTTTGTAAGTTTTTTCCCCCACTAGGTTTTTTTATGCACATGATACTCCACTACTTGTATTTCTGTACATATTACTTGGCTGGTGACCAGCACTGCAAAATAGGAAGAATGTAAACTTCAAAAGATGGCTATGTTCTATTGTTTCAAAAAGTCTGAATTCAGCAGATTAACCTTCAAAGGCAACTGAACTGAATTTCTCTCTCCTCCCTAAATAGCACCAGTGCGCTCGCTTACACACACACACACACACACACACACACACAATTGAGCTCCAGGTAATATATTCAGTTATTTTCATCTAATGATATTAATTAAGAGGCAGATGATTAAATCAACTCGCTATTTTGTAATACATTTGCTGTTCTAATTTTAAACTTCGAATGTGCCAGCCAAGAGAGATTTAACCAAGGACTGTTGTCCCAAGGCAGTTCACGAATCATGTAAAGATGTGCACAGAATCCTGTAGCCATGAAGACTTCTACCTTGGGAATTCTTTTGGAGATGATTCCTGAATTGCTTAGGTGTCACAATGGTACCAATGGGATAGAATCAAAAGACAATTTGACGTGGATTTCTAATTAACATTGAAGTCAGTTCCCTGCTGGAAATTACAAAAAGTAGCTGTGGAGACTGGAGTGGAAGACTGGTAAGTGGGTGTAGAGCTTCTTAACCCAGTCTCCCCCCCTTTTCTTCTTTCTTTTTGGTGTTGGGAGGTGGGAGCTTAAAACTGCTCTTCCTATTTTCCCTCCGTGGAGAAAAATATATAGGGTGAAAAGCAGCACTGCAGAGGGATAGATTATTAGCAGAAAAATACAGGAAGAGGCAGTAAGACTTCCTTCTTTCCTTCTCTAGCTGTTGGTCTCCTGTTGCAGCTTCCACAACTGCATTTAACGGGGAGGAGGAGAAATGTAAGGAAAAACTACAGGCAAATAAATGGCACATTATTTCGGTTATATCTGTTCCA